ACACGATCTTACCCTCGCTCTTCTCGGTGAAAACTGTCACGGACAAGTAGAGTGTGTGAGAACCACAAGGGCTCTCCCTAAAATCTACCGGGTTAGCACCCCAACATCCGCATGCAGTTATGGTGATCACTGCAACCGTCTATCCATCTACCTATCTTCCTAGTTTTTTTTTTTCCCCCTAAAAAAAGACAAAGCGGAGAAAAGCTATTTAGGAGTGCTGGGTGGCTCAGTCGGTTAAGCATCCGACTCTGGATTTCGGCTCAAGTTGTGATCTCACAGTTGGTGAGTGCAAGCCCCCCACTACCAGTGCAGAAGAGCCTGCTTGGGATTTGGTGTCTCCCCATCCCTCTCTCTGCCCCTCCCCTGCTCACTCCTTCTCTCTCCAAATAAATTAAAAAGTTATTTATACTTTTGAAAAACTATTTCTATAGGACTTCTCCCAAGACACCAGAATACCTTTTTATACTGAACCCCTTTGTAAAGAGATTTTTTAATTCTCCTCAACTTTAGTAAAGATGCTGCCTTTGAAAACCCAACAAAAAGACGAGCTCGCGTAAGGCCAAGTCTAAGAATAATTTTGCTACTACCTGACATTTCACACACAAGCCTCCCGTGGCACACGACTTTTCTCAACCAGAGAAGCAATGAATCGCTCCTGTCTCCAAGAAGCACTGTGAATGGAAATGAATGGTTTTCAGCAATTTGAAACTCTCTGGCTGCAGGACTTTAGTTTATGAATCGCAAACGAACCGATTCAAAAGCACAGGACTTTCATTTTAACTTCTCATCTCTTCTTGCCAGGAGAAAATACTTTTCCAAGAAAGAGCAACAATGTCTCAGGCCTTAACTCCATGAATTTAGCTGTTTGGAAGGCATGTGCTTAGGACTTATCTTTCTGGCAATCCCTGGTGTTCTTTGGAAAACTTCACAAACACATAAATTTATGAAGTAAAGTGCTGTAAACTCTCAACTACCCAATGCGGTAAGGGAATGTGGTATTCGAATATTCACATTAAAAAAGTCACCCGGCATTAATTATGCCTCAAGAAAAGAAAGGCTTAAACTGTCACTCTGTTGGCGATTTACGGACAAAAAATTTTCTAAGAATTACAACATCATAAAGTATACCTAATAAAGCGCAGTGAACACTGTTTAATCTTTCTGATGATTAAGGAGGGCCCTGAGGATTTGCATTATAAACAGGATTTGTTTTGGCACTACAGCAACATGCCAATTAATAGGGAATTCTAGCTGAAGACAGGCCAGGTGACAGATGACTGTGTTATTTCTACTACGGTAGAATTCAGCTTTTAAACAACTGGCTTTGGGGCCAGACAGCCCTGCATCTGAGTCCAAGTTCTTCCACTCCCCGGCTGTGGGGTCTGGGGCAAGTTACTTAAGCTCTCAGATTCCTCTCCTCAGTGTAAAACACTCCCCTGCTGGGATGTGGGATTTTTTTTTCCAGCTCCGTCCCTGACTTGGGGTGCAAAGGTTGGCCTGGCCTCACTACCTTTTTTTTTTTTTTTTTTTTTTGTAAAGAAAATAAGGAGCCATCAACACAGACTAATAATATGAGGTTATTAGGACTCACAAGTGGCCACCTGACACATCTTAAATCTGGAGGATAACTGCTATGGAATTATTTGAAATAGTTGCGAACAGAAAGGTCAAAGGAAGGGAAGATGTGAGGAACAGAAAAAGAGTTAACAAGAAGCCTTCATACTAGAGAAACTACTTCCTTTCCATTCTATCAGCAGAAACGGTCTCCCTGAAAATACAGAGGTCTTGAGCGCCCCCATGAGGCGGGTGATCTGAATTCTGTCCTAGTAAGGGTTGTGTTTCTAGTAGAAACAGACCCAATCATTTGAAAAAATACCTAAGAAAGAATACTGTTACAGTCCAGTTGGGTTTTTGCTTTGTCCTACAAAATTCTAAATTATCTGCATTAACATCCTTAAGTACTTTCATAATGTATTTAATAACTCTGTTCAATATTTTAAAATATTTTTAGAGATTTTTAGTGCTTCATTCAGCAAATTGTGAGATGACCACAAAACCAAAGTCTAAGGGATTTCAAAAGATGGTCTGGCTGAAGGCATTTAGAACAAAGTCAAGTCCATTATTACTGCCACATGCTTCTCCATAACTAATAACCAGCAGGAATTACTAACAGTGAAAAAGGAAGGGTTCTTAATTTGTTTCTTTTTTTGCCCTATAGCTGAGCACATAAATATTATAAAATGAATAATAATAAGTTATGTTTATGGAAGTTACCAAGTTGGTAGTTGTTCATATTATACCGTGAAGCAGTGATTTAGTTACCTTTTTAACATACATGCTTTAGGTAACAGCAAAATGAGTTTGCACACCTTACCTGACATGCAGACTTCCTGACACTTGGTACTCAAAGTAGAGAAAATAGCCAAGCCGATTGGAAACTACCTGAGGTCTACATAACAGGACTTGTTGATTTTGATAAAATAAAAACTTTTTTTATAATACTGTGCAGTAATAAACGATACCAGATAGAGGGTAAAGTTACAAAGTAAACGTATCAGACTATTCCAACTGTGTTGGGGCGCCTGGGCTCAGGTCATGATCTCACACTTTGCGAGTTCGAGCCCCACGTTGGGCTCTGTGCTGACAGCTCAGAGCCTGGAGTCTGCTTTGGATTCTGTGTCTCCATCTCCCTCTGCCCCTCCCTCGTTCACAGTCTGTCTGTCTCTCTCTCTCCCCCTTTCAAAAATAAATAAACATTAAGAAAAATTTTTTAAAGAATATTCCAACCATGTTAAAAAATAAGGCCCCTGTCCGCCTGGGTGGCTCAGTCAGTTGGGCGTCCGACTTCGGCTCAGGTCATGATCTCGTGGTCCGTGAGTTCAAGCCCCGTGTCGGGCTCTGTGCTGACAGCTCAGGGCCTGGAGCCTGTTTCAGATTCTGTGTCTCCCTCTCTCTCTGACCTTCCCCCATTCATGCTCTGTCTCTCTCTGTCTCAAAAATGAACAAACATTAAAAAAAAAAAAATTTTTTTAAAAAGGCCCCTGTTGTTTATTGAAATTAAACTTCTACTTGTAACCTTAGCGTGTTAATAATTGAATATTTGGAAAATCATGAGATTAATCTAAACGAACCTCCCTGTGTTAAAAAATAAGGCCCCTGTTGTTTATTGAAATTAAACTTCTACTTGTAACCTTAGCGTGTTAATAACTGAATATCTGGAAAATCACGAGATTAATCTAAATGAACCTCCCTGGTAGCATAAAGGGGGTTGCCCTTCGAGAAAATAATTGTTAAAACATTTTCTATGATTTTGTCTGAAAAGCAATATTCCTACCTTCTCCCATTTAAAATCAGGCAATAGGGGCGCCTGGGTGGCGCAGTCGGTTAAGCGTCCGACTTCAGCCAGGTCACGATCTCGCGGTCCGTGAGTTCGAGCCCCGCGTCGGGCTCTGGGCTGATGGCTCAGAGCCTGGAGCCTGTTTCCGATTCTGTGTCTCCCTCTCTCTCTGCCCCTCCCCCGTTCATGCTCTGTCTCTCTCTGTCCCAAAAATAAATAAACATTAAAAAAAAATAATAATAAATAAATAAATAAATAAATAAATAAAATCAGGCAATAATCACCATTTCTTGAGCTACCAACATCTGGCTTTTTTGTATGAGCTGACAATTGAAGAAATGATGAGAGAAGACCAGTTTGAGACTAGTTTTCAAGCCCAAAAAACTCAGGTTTAAAGGACTGGTTTAGGGGTGCCTGGGTGGCTCAGTCGGTTAAGCATCTGACTTTGGCTCAGGTCACAATCTTGCGGTTCACGAGTTCGAGCCCCGCGTCGGGCTCTGGGCTGACAGCTCAGAGCTTGGAGCCTGCTTTTGATTCTGTGTCTCCCTCTCTCTCTGTCCCCTTCCCCGCTCATGCTCTGTCTCTGTCTCTCAAAAATAAATAAAAGTTAAAAAAAGATTTGAAAAAAATTCTAGGGGCACCTGGGTGGCTCAGTTGGTTGAGCGTCCGACTTCGGCTCAGGTCGTGATCTCACGGTCTGTGAGTTCGAACCCTGCATCAGGCTCTGTGCTGACAGCTCAGAGCCTGGAGCTGCTTCGGATTCTGTGTCTTCCTGTCTCTGTTCCTCCCCCCTTTTGCTCACACTCCGTCTCTCTCTCAAAATATATAAATCAATAAACATTAAAAAAAAAAAGCTTCAAAAATAAATAAAAAATAAAGGACTGGTTTACGGAATGGGTCACATGGATTTTAAATTGATAAAATGATGAACTTCTAACAAAAAAAAAAGGCTTCAATACTTGGCAGGGTCGGTGGGAGGTGGGGGTGATGGCCCAAGTTGCTTCAAGTAAATGCTCTGTTCCCTGCCCACACTCCCAAACCTCCCAAAACCAGGGGCGGGATCTGTGCTTTCCAAAGAACATTAAAGCAAAGGAGTCACATCTCAGTAATCTACATAAACAGAAAAAAAAAGAAAGAAAGAAAAGAAAAGAAAAGAAAGGAAAAGAAAAGAAAAGAAAAGAAAAGGAGAAGAAAAGAAAGAACCCCGAAAGTCTATGGTGGCTATTGGCATTGGCCTCTCAGAAAAAGAAAATGGATCACTCAGAGCTCTGGAAAGTCCAGCATGATCCCAGCCCGGGATGATCACACGGAAGGCCTCCTGTGGGAGCAGTGGCTCACCATCTTCGGGGCATGTGGCAGCGCAGGGCTCTGGGCAAGGACAGCACCGACGAGAGCACTAGCTCTCTACACTGTCAAGGTCACACCCAAGAACGGCCACGGTACTTAATTCCATCAGTATATGCTCGCCTCGCCAGCATTTTCACGGTAGAGCAGGGCAACAGACACTTAAAATAGAAATCGAGATTATAGGCAATATTTGGGAAACCAGGTCTTCCTCGAGCTATGGAAAAAAATCTGGGTGGCCCGGATTCCTTCCTTTCTCCAAATAAGACTGCTTTTTCCTCCCACTCTAGAGAAGAGGTGGAAATGTTTACATGGATACATCTGATGTGTTGACACAGCTCTTAGCAATAAGTCCTTCAAAAGGGCGATCTTTTCCTTCAGACTCTGCAACAAAGCTCTGATTGTCACGGTCAGCTGGAAAGAAAAGAACACATCCTAAGTATGCTAGTCCAGAGGTGGGGGAGCTACTAAAAACATCACGTAAACACATTATGATTCCTTCAAGGACCAGCTGGCAGATGCTTAACTTCCCAAGGACACCTTCAGGGTTCTAAGGTATCCAAATTTTGGTCCAGCCCCCCACCTGATGCTTGCATCCGCTGTATAAGGTGACCAAGTGGAGAGCCAGCCCAGACCTGAGTAGACAGTGACAGGAAACCAACCCCTGGCCCTCACAGTCTGAATCCTGTCCCCTGAGCATCTACCCCATTCGCCAGTGAAAAACCCAAGTGTCTTCAACCTCGCTTTAAATGACAAGACGTCAAGTCTCACCGCAATCCCACCAGTCTGCTCTGAACACACTGGTTTACTTAAAACCCATTTAAAAGTTTTGTAGCAGTGTGTTCTTATAACGATGCTCACCACCAGTGACTCTTTTTCCAGGAGTGTATAGATTTTCTTAGTCGTTCTACAAACCCAGAGGAAACTGCTGTTTGTGACTCTTGAGTGCTATGTTAAAGGATGGAGGAAGGTAGGGAGAGAACCTCTGGGGAACTGAGAAAATATGAAAACTGAAACTGCCCATGTAAATGAAATACAGCCAGCCACGCGGGAAATCAGAGATAGGTGTGAAAAGACAGACTAGCGCAGATTTCATCTGCTACCTTGTTCGAAGTAGCAATTACATAACTTCAGGGGAAGGGAGGACTCCCTCCCTAGGATTAGCAGGGTCACACACACTAAGGGAAAAACAGCAGAACAGTAGAGGCTGGCTGAGGGCTCACACACATCAAGCAACCCTCAAAGGTATCAGCAGCCAAGAAAAGTCTAACCTTAACTATTCTAATACCTCTGGGAACCACGGAGAAACCACCCACAGTGTTTATGAGGAAATACCACGGAGAGCAGATCGCCCCTCGTTCAAGAAGAGTAAAACAAACAAACATAGCACAATACACACACACACACACACACACACACACACACACACACACACACGCCCCAAACCGAAGAGCAGTCTACGAAATTAAAGCTCAAAAGCATTCAAGAGATCAAAGAGTATGTGGCCATTAAAAAGTATGACGGAAACCTCGATTTGTCGACATAGAAAGATAGCCAGCATAATTTATTAAAAGAGAAAAAAACCAAGTCCTAAAATGAAATGTCACCCACAGAGAAAAAAAAATCAATCTAAGAACTAAATACTTCAAAATGCCAAGGGCGATTATCTCTAAGTAGTGGATTTTTTAAATATTTTATAAGAAAAATGGTTACTTTTAAAACCAGGAAAAGTTTTCCATCATCATAATCTGCAAGAAACCTTCCAAAGCACAGAAAAAGATGAAGAGCCTAACTCATATTTTAAGCTAACACAACCCTGATAACAATCACTAACAGAGATACTGGGGAGTGGGGTGAGGGGGTGGAGAGGGGATGGGGGAGAGAAAAAAAAGAAAAAAGAAACCACATGCTAATCTCCTGTGAGGATTATAAAATGCAAAAGTCTTTAAAAATATTAGCAAAGCAAATTCAGAATTATGTTAAAATGACAACATACCATCACCAAGTAGAATTTATCCTAGTAATTTAAGAACAGTTTGATGTTAGAAAATCTAATACTGAATCCGACAGTGTTAATGGTTACAAACAGAACAAATGTATGATTGATACAGCACAGGAGAAATTAATTAAAAACAAAACAAAAAGAAAGAAAGAAAACTAAGAATGGAACATTACTACCTTAACCATAATATTTTCCAACATTGGTCTAGAAGTTGTAACCAACGCAATAAGACAAGTTAAAGAAATACACAAGGGCTGGAAAGAAGGAGATGAAATCATCATGATATATAAATGGATAAGTCTATTTGGGAAAGTTAAGTGAATCCACTGACAAATTACTAGAAACCAGAGAAGAAGTCAGTCTGGTAATCAATCTTAAAATGAAAAAAAAAAAAAAAAATCCAGGGCATTTCTAAATTTAAGTACTAGGTAGGGAGCATTTCTTTTCATCATTATTTTTAAACATCATTAACAACACCAACAAAACCTAAAAAACATCTAGCACCTGCCTGGCACATTGCGACTATGTAGTAAATACTGATAGAGGAATGAATAAAAGGAAACACTCGATATTGTAAAGATGTAAGCATTCCCCAATTAATCTATGAATAAACTACACATCTATTCAAAGTCCCATGTGGAGTTCTCTTACTAGAAAAGAGGTGGTAACAGAGGCACAGGACAAATGAATTGTAATGAAGCCATGCGAAATTATTCTAAAACATAGATAAAGAGAAATTTAAAAGACAAGGAATATGTGTGATAGAGGGGCACTTCAACAATGAGATATTAAATCTTCATGAAAACTACAAGAATATGATGCTGGCAGTTAGTGAAAGCTTCACTAGTATGACAGAACAGGAGGTCCAGGCGCAGTATGGCTGTGCAAAAATAAATTCAGTGAATGAAATACAGGATTATTTCATATCTTTTTTTTATGTTTATTTTTGAGAGAGAGACAGAAAGACGGCAAGTGGGGGAGAGGCAGAGACAGAGAGGAAGACACAGAATCTGAAGCAGGCTCTGGGCTCTGAGCTGTCAGCACAGAGCCCAACGCAGGGCTCGAACTCACAAACCACAAGATCATGACCTGAGCCAAAGCTGGATGCTCAACCCACTGAGTCACCCAGGCGTCCTGTGGATATTTCATATCTTGGGGGGATGAGGTAAAGAATAATTCAGCAAATGGGAAAAAATAAAATTTGATGCCTACAATGCACCAAAATAAACTTTTAAATATTTTAAAGATACATGTTTAAAAATAAAATAAAAACAGGGGCGCCTGGGTGGCTCAGTTGGTTGAGCGTCCGACTTTGGCTCAGGTCATGATCTCACAGCTCGTGAGTTTGAGCCCCGCGTGGGGCTCTGTGCTGACAGCTCGGAGCCTGGAGCCTGCTTCGGGTTCTGTGTCTCCCTCTCTCTCTGCCCCTAACCCACTCACATTCTGTCTGTCTCTCTCAAAAATAAAATAAACATTAAAAAAATAAAATAGAATAAAAACAGAAGGAAAGATTGAAGAAAATTTGGAAGATGAGATGAAATATTTAGATAATCTCTGGGTATGAAAGACCTTTCTCAGGGGCACCTGAGTGGTTTGTCAGTTGAGCGGTTGACTCTTGAATTCGACTCAGGTCATGATCTCACGGTTTGTGGGATTGAGCCCCATGATGGGTTCTGCTCTGATAGCATGGAGCCTGCTTAGGATTTTCTTCCTCTCTCTGCCCCTCCCCTGCTCACATTTGCTCTCTCTTTCAAAATAATAAATAAATTAAAAACAAAAGAAATAATAAGTTAGGTTAAGGACATATACTGGCAATTCACAAAGGAAGAAATATAAGTATCCAATAAATATATGAAAACAGGTTCAATGGCATAAATAACAAAAAAAGCATATTAAACTATTATATACTTACACCTGACAGAATGAGTAAGATTTTTAAAAGATAATTGGAATTGGGACAGAATTGTATGTTGAAGAGGCTTAAAATTTTATACAACCTAAATCCAGAAAGTCTACATCGGGAAACTTTTCTACCATGGGCAATAATTTGGCCACACTGAAAACTCATTTATAATTAGAAATTAAGTACCCAAGAAGATTATACCAGTTAAATGAATCAGAGGTCTAAATGTAAAAAAGTGAAACCATACGTTTATTAGAAGAAAACAGAAATGAATTCCCTTACATCCCAGAAATAGCAAAAGGTATGAGTGAAAATACAGAAGCAGTTAAAGATCGCTAGCCAACTCTGTTTAAAAAATAATGCTTTCGGGGCGCGCCTGGGTGGCTCGGTCGGTTAAGCGTCCGACTTCAGCTCAGGTCATGATCTCACGGTCCGTGAGTTTGAGCCCCGGGTCGGGCTCTGTGCTGACCGCTCAGAGCCTGGAGCTTGTTTCAGATTCTGTGTCTCCCTCTCTCTCTGCCCCTCCCCTGTTCATGCTCTGTCTCTGTCTCAAAAATAAATAAACGTTAAAAAAAAATTTTTTTTAAATAATGCTTTCACATGGCAGATGATATCCTAAGCAAAGCCAAACAACAAATAATAAAGAAAATAAATTATAATATGTCACCAAGAACTAATCTCCATACTAGATAAGAAACTCTTAAAGACTAAAAAGACCAACAATCCAATTTTTAAAAAAGGGTTTTTTTTTTTAACAAAAGAAGAACTTCTCAGAAAAATGTAAATGATGCTTAAACATGTGCAAACACACCCACTTGATTCACACATGAAAGATGCACATTTGAAACGACACTGAAATACCATATCGCACTTATCAGATGACACCCTCTTGTTGGCCAGCCTGTGAAGAAACAGAAACTCGTGCACTGCTGGTCAAAGGGTGAGTAAGCACACCCCTGTGGACAGGAATTTGGTGGCAGGTGAAAAAAATCACATCCACCCAGGTTCTGAGAATTCACCCTTAAAAGACACCTCCACAAATACCAAGGGGAGGAAGAACATAAAGCTATTTATTGTGGCATTGTTCATAACGGCAAAACAGGAGAAATTATCTAAACTCCCATCCTTAGGCAGGTTAAATGGACTATGGCGTATCCGTGCAGTAGCACAACTACGTAGTCCTAAAGAACAGCGAAGATATCGAAGAATTAATATGGAGAGATTACTACAACACGGTAGTAAATAAACAGAGCGAGATACAAAGGAGTATCTTATGGAAAAGAAAGAGAAATGAGAACACACACACACGCTTATTTCTGCAAAAAGTAACAGAGGAAGAGGAAGCCAGAAATTAATGAAAATGATTACATGGAGAAGTACTAAAAATTAATATAATAAGCCCACAATTATATGGTCACTTTACCTTCTACAAAGCAGGAAAGAATATCCAATGGGAAAAAGACAGTCTCTTCAACAAGCGGTGTTGGGAAAACCGAATGGCAACATGCAAAAGAATGAAACTGGACCATTTTCTTACACCAAACACAAAAACAAACTCGAAATGGATGAAAGATCTAAATGTGAGACCTGAAACCAGAAAAATCCTAGAAGAGAACACAGGCCATAGCAACCTTTCTCTAGATATGTCTCCCGAGGCAAGGGAAACAAAAGCAAAAATAAACTATTGGGACTACATCAAAATAAAAAAGCTTCTGCACAGCAAAGTAAACAATCAAGAAACCTAAAAGGCAACCTACTGAATGGGAGAAGATACTTGCAAAGGACATATCCGATAAAGAGTCAGTATCCAAAATCAGTTCTATAAAGTTCTATAAAGTTCTATAAAGAACTGACACAACTCAACACCCAAAAACCAAATACAGTAAAACCTTGGATTGTGAGTAACTCATTCTACAAGTGATCCGCAAGACGAGCAGACATTTCTAATGAAATTTAACTTGATAAACGAGCAATGTCTCACAGTACGAGTAGGATGTGATGCTGAATGTCGCATGATCACAACTGAGCCAATGGTTCTCTCTCGCTGTGGGATTGTGGGTCATCGGCTCCCACACTCGGATGCTCGGTCTCAGGCTGGAGTGTTTGGCAGAAATCAGTGATTTTTCAGAACGTTGGAAGGTGCCCACAACAGGCATTAGTGTATTTTTTGTCACTTCCAAGCATCTCTGGACAGTCCTTTGCTTTTCCATCCAAGAGTGAGCTTAGGAATGCTTTGCTCCATTCTAGGTCAGGCTGCCTGCAGATAGAGACCCTTTCCTCTGCCTCCTTATTGCCAGTTACGCTAAATACAGTAGAAGACTTTATTAATACCGTACTGTAGTCAACATCCGTCAGTGATAGTGAAAAGTCGTCCTACACAGTAACCCTCCTCTCTTGTCTCCCTCACACCACCATGAAGGTTTTTAAAAGTGAATGTTGTTTATTTTTCTTTATATTTTGTAGAATGAATCATCTGAGTTTCCACTATTTCTTATGGGGAAATTTGCTTTGATATACAAGTGCTTTGGATGACAAGCTTGTTTCCATAACGAATTATGCTCGCAAACCAAGGTTTTACTGTAATCCAATTTAAAAATGGGCAGAATGGGGCGCCTGGGTGGTGCAGTCGGTTAAGCGTCCGACTTCAGCCAGGTCACGATCTCGCGGTCCGTGAGTTCGAGCCCCGCGTCAGGCTCTGGGCTGATGGCTCAGAACCTGGAGCCTGTTTCCGATTCTGTGTCTCCCTCTCTCTCTGCCCCTCCCCCGCTCATGTTCTGTCTCTCTCTGTCCCAAAAATAAATAAACGTTGAAAAAAAAAAATTAAAAAAAAAAAAAAATGGGCAGAAGAGGGGCGCCTGGGTGGCTCCGTCGGTTAAGCGTCCGACTTCGGCTCAGGTCATGATCTCATGGTCCGTGAGTTCGAGCCCCGCGTCGGGCTGTGTGCTGATGGCTCAGAGCCTGCAGCCTGTTTCCGATTCTGTGTCTCCCTCTCTCTCTGACCCTCCCCCGTTCATGCTCTGTCTCTCTCTGTCTCAAAAATAAATAAAACATTAAAAAAAATTTTTTTTAAATGGGCAGAAGACACGAATAGACACTTTTCCAAAGAAGACATCCAGATGGCCAACATACACATGTTCATCGTCACTCCTCCTCAGGGAACTACAAATCAAAGCCACAATGAGATATCGCCTCACACCTGTCAGAATGGCTAAAACCAACAGCACAAGAAACAACAGGTGTCGGCGAGGACGTGGAGGAAAAGGAACCCTCGTGCACAGTTGGTGGGAATGCAAACTGGTGTAGCCACTGTGGAAACAGTATGGAGCTTCCTCAAAAGGTGAAAATAGAACCACCGTACGATCCAGTAATTGCACTACTGGGTATTCAACCCAATATAAACACACTAATTCAAAGGGATACCGTGCGCCCCTATGTTTATTGCAGCTTTATCTACAATAACCAAATTATGGAAAGAGCCCACACGCCCAATGATAGCTGAATAGAGAAAGCAGATGCAGTGGACATACACAATGGAATATTACTCAGCCATAAAAAAGTACGAAATCTTGGGGCATCCGGGTGGCTCAGTCGGTTGAGCATCCGACTGTGGCCCAGGTCATGATCTCACACTCATGGGTTCGAGCCCCGCATCGGGCTCTACGCGGACAGCTCAGAGCCTGGAGCCTGCTTCGGATTCTGGGTCTCCCTCTCTCTGCCCCTCCCCGGCTCGCGCTCTGTCTCTGTCTCTCTCTCTCTCTCAAAAATAAATAAAAACATTTAAAAAAAAAAAAAAAAAGGAAAGACAAACTCAGACTTAAGTGTCTGTGGTGGTGCCTGTGGTGGTACAGTGTCTGAAACTGTGTTCTGCAACCCCTAAGACAGACCCCATGAGCAAAAAGATCTCCCTGTTCTGATTGCCGGAAAAGAAAAATACCAACTTGGAAGGGGAAAGGTTAGAGAGAAACCCGCAGTGTTGGGATCTGAATCGAAGGAGCTAGAGTGAACCCATGAGGGTCTGGAAAACACAGTTCCCCAGCCAAATCCTACCACTGCTTTTATACAGCCTTTAAGCTATATAAAATGCAAATTATTACACGTATTACATAGAATAAATGTAAAATGTCAAAAAGGCCATTTGGCAAGAACAGATTCTCAGAGAGGTGAAGGCGTAGCCTCTTGTCCTGCAGAGCCTGAAAGATTTACTACCTGGGGCCTGAGCTGGACTAGGAAATTGTTAGACACTTTTACGGTTAAACAGGAGAAATTAAACGGGTGTCATGCTTCGTTTCGTCTCAGTTATAATGATTCACTGATTGACTGTAAGGTCAATGCAACACCCGTAAGCTTCGCAGCCACACACACACACACACACACACACACACACACACACACACAGTCTCAGCAGTAGGAGGGTTTGCAGAGCTCAGAGCTCAGACAAACCATTCCGGGTCCTAATTCTCTCCTGCTCTCACCCTGATTGTATTTTCACCACTTCTTCCATGCTGATTTTGCTGTTGGATTTTCTCGGCGATGTCCTGTGCAATTTGGCAGGTGGCATCGTACGCGGAGAACCTGCATCGAAGGCATAAAGGAGAAGAATGCTTCAGGCTCTTTGAAAGCAACTGTCTGCATGACTTGCGCGCCACTTGTTAGTTCTAGCCACCAAGTCAAACGGGGAGAATGAGAATAGTGAATACAGCGACACGTGTTGCTGTCATAGGAAATACTGTGTGAGCCGGGCTCTGTTCTGAATGCTCCGTTTGTAACAATTCGCTTCATCCGCACAAAAACACCAGGAGAGGGGTACCGCTCCCATCGCCATCTTACAAATGAGAAAATCAGCACAAACAGTTAGTAGGTCCACTTGGCCAAGTGGTACCGCCCACTGCAAACTACGTCCCCAACCACTTGTTCGAATTCATCCACTCACAGAACATGCGGCAAACATTTATGCAAGGGCTCCTCTGGGCTGAGCACGGTTCCAGGCACTGGACAGCAGGGCAGCGAACCGAATGGACAAAGTCCCTTATGCTCAAGGAGCATAAAATAAATAAAGACACAGTATGTCCAGGGCTGGTAGGCACTAACAAGAAAAATAAAGCAGGATAAAAGAACAGAGAGTAAGGGGCAAGGTGAGGAAGCCAGCCAGGCAGGTATCTGGGGAAGAGCTTCACAAAACAGGAACAGCAGGTACTGTTTATCCTCCAACAAAATGCGCTGGGACGCAGGACACCCCCTCCGGACATCTAAGCTCACAAGAACTCTCTGGAAACATTTGCCGAGCTTCTATTTGTTATTCAGAGTGTCGGGAGGCTTTGAAAAATCCACAATAAATTCCCCGGGGTCCCTTATTTTTTCCTTCTGGGACAGCCTTTTCGCTTCCTACTTGTTCTACAGAGAACAGCTAAGTACACCTTGTATCTCTCCTACCAGGTGGCCCTGTTCTGCAGAGGAGGGACTAGGGCTGTCCTAGCACAAACTAGGGAAAACTGCTATTTGCCTCCATGTCCCCATTTCTGCTTGAAATAGTAAATGATCCGTTTCTTAAAAATCTTTGAACTCCCACACATTACTCATCCACTGAGGGAACTCGGCAAATGTGTTTTTCGATAACGGCAAAAAAAAAAACCCCCCCAAAAAAAAAAAACCAACCTCGCGTCACTTCCCTTAGCAATCTTACTAGAGTAATTACAGCAATGGGTAACAAACTGAGTACCTGATCTGGGCCAGGTCCTACTTCTAATCTCATGAGGTAGGATCTTTGACAATGCCCCACTCTACGCTGAAGGAGCATCACGCGTGTATGCGTGTGAAAGTGTGTGTATGTTCATGCGTCCAAGAAAAGAGCAAGTAACACAACACATAGTTAAGAAAATAGGAGGGGAGCTGATAAGGAAAACAGGGTCCTGATTCCCAGCTTTACCACATTTCTCCTTTTCCCCTCCATACTGTCACCTCTGAAAAGAGGAGCACAGACAGGTCTGACTCTGTGGTCCCAGACCAGACCTATGGAAATCGATAACAAGGTATGATACACTGCCTAACAACCACAGAGCCTAAATGGTAAGTACTCCTGGAGTTTGGGAGGGAGAGAAAGTAGTGTCGGCCGAGGCACTCGGACTGGACAGGGCTGGGCCAGGAGGTGACACCCTGGGCTGAACAGCGAGGTTGAAGCAGGAGGGAGGGGCACATACGGCTGAGCAGCCCTGGGTAAGAGGGTAAGGTATAAAAGGGGACAGATGCGTGGGAGCTAGTTTCTGTGGAGCCTTGAACACCAGAATTATCAGGGGAGGCTTTTGAAAAAAGAGGACGTTGGAGCTGTAGGGGATACTCTGGCATACCGACTGAGCCCCTGAAGAGGTTCTAGGAAATGCAGAAGGCCAAAATCCCAGATGTTTTGCTCCCAATCTTTACGTTCCCACATTAGCCTTGGAGAGTGCTAGTTCTGAAACTCTGCTACATGCTGGGATCACCAGGGAATCTTGAAACAACAACACAACCGATTCCTGGCTCCCAAACCCAAGCATCCTGCTTAAACGGGAATGGTTTTATTATTTTTTTTTTAATGTTTATTTTTGAGACAGAGACAGACATATTGTGAGCAGAGGAGGGACAGAGACAGAGGGGGACACAGAATCTAAAGCAAGCTCCAGGCTCCAAGCCGTCAGCATAGAGGCCGACGCGGGGCTCGAACTCACAAACCACGAGATGGTGACCTGAGCCGAAGTTGGACGCTTAACTGACTGAGCCACTCAGGCGCCCTGGGAATGGGGTTTGACCTGAACACAAGGAGTTGTCAAAACTCCCCCTGGTGTTCCTACCTGGAGCAAAGTTTGAGAACCACAGGCAAAGAGGTCATGGGCAACCTCATCACAGTATCAAACACACGAGTACCTAACGTAGTAGTTGAGGGGCACCTGGGTGGCTTAGTCAGCAGGGCCTCTGACTCTTGATTTCAGCTCAGGCCATGATGTCGTGGCTCATGAGTCCAGCCCCGTGTCGAGCTCTGCACTAATGGCACAGAACCTGCTGGGATTCTTGGCTCTCCCTCTCTCTCTGCCCCTACCCCACTTGTGCACACACACTCTCTCTCTCAAAATAAATAAACATTTAAATAAATAAATAAAGTACTACTTTAGGAAAACTAACCTGCACTCATTTACATAAATGGCTGGGAACGAGAGAGGAGTGGCAGGAGACCAGAAGACTCCCATTCCATAACTGGTCACCAGTATCTCCTGTCTGCAAGGCACACAACTAAAAACATGGGGGGGGCCAAGGCAGAAACAGACAGCATGAAAGAACTGCCAGGGGCGCCAGGGGGGGCTCCGTCGGTTAAGCGTCCGACTTCGGCTCAGGTCATGATCTCGCAGTTGGTGAGTAGGAGCCCCGCGTCGGGCTCTGTGCTGACAGCTGGGAGCCTGGAGCCTGCTTCGGATCCTGTCTCTCTCTCTCTCTCTCTCTCTCTCTCTCTCTGCCCCTTCCCTACTCACACTCACTCTCTCTGTCTCTCTCAAAAAATTAAATAAATGTTACCAAAAAAAAAAAAGTTTTAAACAGATGCCAGAGGCATTTGAAAGAAAAACCAAATATTCAATAATCAGATAGGAGGAGGGCAAGAAAAAGTGGATGACTGGAGTTTTCAGGCCCAAGGGACACAGAGGATGGTGATGCCACAGCAGAGACCGAAGACCTGAAAAGGGGAACACGCAGGAAGTCCCCTGTTCTACCACAAAAACACTGAATGCACAGTTAAATTCATACACACGTAAGGTTTACTTAAAAAAAAACAAAAACCTGGGGAAAAATGATGTGGAAGGCAGAAATGATACAAGTATGGCAGAAGGCTGGTAATTATAGGACCTGGGTGAGGAGTACAAAGGGGGTCGTTAGACTATCCCTTTCTGTATATTCTTTTACCTTCCACAACATTTTTGAGAATAGACCAAATAGAAAAAAGAAAAGACCAACCAGAATACAAAACCGTTAAGGTCTGTTTAACTCTAACTCTTCCAGGAAGGGTGCATCACCAACACACATGTTGCCCTGGCAGGAAAGCTAATTAGCTTTAGCAAAGAACCTGTTCAGAGACAGTCATCCTTCTATTAAAAAACGAGCTTACTGCTTGCTTTGATACGCCGGTCAAGCGGTCACGGCTCTATGCCATGACTGACCAGCCGAATACCATTCAGGAGTAAAGCATCGTTGATGTACGATTGTCAACAGCACGAACAGAAGGCTGTATGTAGCCAAGTCTGTTTTTATAAGGTTTTCAAAGTCCCGTTCCATACTCCCTCCTACCCTCCTGACCAGCAACCCACTTTGCAACGGAGCTAAGCTACCAGCACAGCAGAGTTTCCACCTGTTTCACAGTCAACGGACAAATGAGAAAGCCACGGAATCAAACTACCCGAGAGCAACGGGAAAAATCATAAATGCGTTTTCAGCATGAACTGGGGAAGGGGCTTGGGGCCCAAGGACAGCTTCCATCAATCTAAATGGATTATCACCTCTGAGCTCTATTTCCTACCTTATGTGTAAAGTGAGGGGGTCAGCTTCCAGGGAGTGGAGGGCAACTGAGCAAAACGTTATCAAGGGCCTTAAAAATGTTCATATCCTTGAACCCAACAGTTCACTTCCAGGAAGTGAGCCGAGGAAGTAAGAGATGGAACAAAGGGGCTGTCTCTGCAACAGTTAAACAAAACAAACTCTAATATTACAAAGAGGTACAAAAGAGGGAAATTAATTATGGTTATTCATATGATGCACTATTATGTACCATTAAAAAAAATCCTGTTTTTAGTAAATACTTAATGACACAGGGAAACGTTCCCTGCTTTGTCAAACATGCAGGTTTCCCTCACTATCCAAAAGTAGTCTTCCAATGAAACCTTTCATAAGGCAAAATGGGGTATAAAGCAAAAGGGCAATGACCACTAATTCATACAGAAAAATTTTTGAGCTTTCTCAGACCCCCAAAAATGACCTCTCTTGGTTTTTTCTGATACCTTAAGGCACATCTTGCTAACAGGTGCACAAAATAAACCAAAAAAAGCGCACAGGTTTTCACAGACACAGCTCAAAGCTATCGTAGTCTGATGCTGTCATGCTGAGTATAGCTCCCCGGGGAGGAGGTGGGGGGGGGGGGGGGTCACTCTGCTGGTTAGGGTGCACAATGCCCCTAAGACAGCTTGCTGCAAAATAAACGCTGAATGCTATTTTCGCTTTCCGCATTTTTTTCATAAAAGCAAAAACCCCCTTCAGATTTCTTTTGGTTAGAGAAAACAGGAACTAAGGTAGGTCTTTCCTAAAAGCAAAGTGGCATAAGGTGAAGTTTCAAAAAGCCACGGACGCTTGTATATGTATCATTATATGTACATACACACGCATATTATATAAACTAATGTATTCATTTTAAAAATCAATAATGGCTGGCTATCATTCCAAATGACAAAGTTGAAGATGTTTCTCCCCTCTGCAAATATTCAGTACTTCCGAAATTTTCTATCAGGGTGTATACAATTGTTAAAACTTGGTGGGAAAAAATTAGCGTTAAATCAAGTAAGCCATTGGCCAGGTCACCCAGATCCCAGAGCGTGCCAACTTTGATCTTGCACACCATTCTCCTGGTAGCCATCCTGCCTACAACTTCACCAATTATAAATTCTACCAGAAATATTAACCTAAAACATAAAGTCCAACAAGAACTTTACAGAGCTATATGACACGCTTTTCATTATGAAACAAAAAAAGTCAAGTCCGATATGCCATAGCAATATGTTCCTTGGGGTCAGTACTTGTGTCTGTCGTCATTCAGTCCTTGGGACTTAATTGTGGAGGGAATGACCCTTACCAGCTCTTGTTCTGCTGCAGAAGTTGCAGCAGAGGAAAACAGCCTTCGTGACGCTGACTCAGGTAAGGGTTAAATGCCCTATAAACAAATGCGTAATTTCCCTCCCTGATTCCGGTAAGTTTTTTTGAAGGGCCCACAAGACCTAAGTCCTAGAGCCAGCTGGTGACTTAACTGGCGGGTGACCATGCATTCTGAACCTTGGCTTCTCCGCCTGTGAAGTAAGGGGCCGGGGGTGGGGGTCACCAGATGGACCGGCATTGCACGAAAAGGTTACTTGGACTTCACTTTCAACGTTTATTTTGGGGACAGAGAGAGACAGAGCATGAACGGGGGAGGGGCAGAGAGAGAGGGAGACACAGAATCGGAAACAGGCTCCAGGCTCCGAGCCATCAGCCCAGAGCCTGACGCGGGGCTCGAACTCCCAGACCGCGAGATCGTGACCTGGCTGAAGTCGGACGCTTAACCGACTGCGCCATCCAGGCGCCCCAGGACTTCACTTTCCCGAGAGTCCAGGGAAGCCAGCACCAGCCACCTCCACAGCCAGGACGGGCGGGAAATCTCCCCAGATGCAGCCGAGAAGGGCTGAAGGCATGTTCCGGGGTTCGGCACAAGCCCGCAACTCCCCGGGGTCCCTCCCCCCACCCGGGGCCGCCCCTGCGAACACCGAGGGTGGCGGGACACGGCAGGGTCTCCCTCGGCTGGGGAAGGGGCCCCGCTGCCCCTCCCCTCTTCCCGAACGTTCCCCGGCCCCAGAGCCTGGCGACCGCCGGCTCCCCGGAATCCCGGCCTCCCTCGCGAACCCCTCCGCGCGGCCGCCCTCACCCCGGGCTCACCAGGGGTCCGGGGCCATCGCGCTGTCTCCGCCCGCCTTCGGACACTTCCTGCTCGCGGCAGCTGACTACGGCGGCCCGCGCGGCTCACACCCCGCGGTTCGGCCCGGGCGCGACCGGAACCTGCCGTTTCACCCGGTGCGTGTGCGCTGCGGCCTCCAAGGTAGGGAAGCCACCCCCCCCCCCAGCAACCCTTAGGTCGGCGCGAACAGCCCGGCGCAATTAAAATAAAACTTTTGGACAAAAATCGAAGCATTTTCCCGGGAAGGTGGAAGCATCTCAAGCCCTCCGGCAGTTACCTGAAGTTGCAACCCGCTTCAAACAAAAAACACACAAAAACTGGACTGTGGGCATAGTTGCACAGCTGTGTACATTAACTAAACCTCAGAGTGAGTTTTATACGTAAAGTTATACCTCACTAAAACTTAAAAAAAAAAATTGTTAATCCTGCTTCAAACAAAGGACCCAAAGAATGCCAATTATAGATTGTCTTATAGCACCCTTCCCTAAATGACACTCGGTGATTGGTTATGCGGTTACGAAAAGAGTCCGTAGGGGGAAACGTGCAGCCAGTGCCCCTAAATTTTCAGGGAAATTGGGAGGAAAAGGAGCCCTCTCTGCTTCCGCAGCGGGAGCTCAGGGCTCAGCAGCCGGGAGCGTGCGCGGGCCTGCGCCCGGCGCGCATGCGCGCGTCCGTTACCATACCGACCAGGAGACGCTGCGCGGCCCGAGGCAGGGAGAGGGAGCGCCTGCTGTCCAGGGGATGGAGAACCAAATTCCTCCCAAGGCCGAGGTGGCCGAGGTGGCCGAGCTGGAGCTTGAGGCCGCGATCGGCTTCAATGGTGAGGCCTCGAACGTGTCTGGGCGGGGGGTTGCAAGCCCTGGGGACAAGTAGCGCAAACAGGGACCGTGGGACACCGGGTGGCACCTGGAAGGCAGCGGGACCCTGGCAAGAGCCAAATTCTCTCCCGCCCCCAAGGCCCTGGGGAATCACATCCTCGCCACAGACCTCAAAGACCGGGATGGTTTCACAGCACCTAAGAGGGACAAGTGCCTGCTCACGGGACCGAAGCATGAGTAAGGGTGGTCGTAACCCATCTCCCCCTGGTCAGCTCTGCCCTGGCCCTGTGACCCCGCGAGCCCCCGCAGCTGCCTGCCCCTGGGTAACCGCGGGATGGCTGAGTCCTGTTCGGCCCCTGGGCACAACTACCAGAACCCCAGCTGATGTGCCCATGAGAATGGGCTGGGGACCGAACGTGGCAGTGAGCATCCGTTTTAGGGGATGATCTTGTCCTCTAACCCGGAGAAGGACCCTAACACTGAGGGTGTCAGGGGAGGCTGCGGAGGCGGGTAGATGCTTCTGTCCTGGAGGCCTGGCGGTTCTGCTCACACCTTATTTATGACTGCCTGATAGTTTGAACATGAAGGGGGGTAATGCTCTTTGTTTTTGTGTGTGAGGGAAGGAAACAAGCGCGTTGCATTTAGAAAAAGCAAACTTTTTTTTTAAAGTGTGTTGTGCTGCCCGAAAGTTTTAAAATTGTAATATTGCAGACCAGAACTGTCAATGGCTAAAGGTTTAGGCACATTCTGGAACCTAGAGCTTGACTCTTCGTGTTAGTTTAACAGTCTTTTACAGAGAGTGGGCACTTCTTAGCACATCTGAGATATCGGCCATCTTTAGAGCTGGTGGCAAGGTCATTGGTAAAGGAAGTGAGTGACCGCTGGTGAGTGTAGGGAGTCAGTGCAGAACCTCGAACACAGCGCTCTGCAACTGAATTCATGATGTTTTGTGGAGCTCTAAGAGTAAATATATGGGGGCCACCTGGTGGCTCAGTTAGTTAAGCCTCCTACATTGGCTCACATCATGATTTATTTCCGGGTTCGTGAGTTCAAGCCGCGGTACCCGGCTCTGCAATGCCGGTGCTGGGTCTGCTTGGGATTCTCTCTCTCTCCTTCTGTCTCTCTCTTTAGCTAAAATAAACTTTAAACACTAAAAAAAAGTTATAAAAGAAGAGTAAATAGATGGTACATTATATTCCAGTGCCTTCCATGGCCATTACTAGTTATCTTGGCCTTTTAAAATGGCCCAAATTAATGGAATTATTTTTACTTCGCTGGTTTTGTGACAATTTATATTATATTCTTTCCTGTAGTCAAATACACATTTCTATAGAACCACTATATGCCAAATAGTATGCTATGTTCTGAGAATACAGGGATAAATCCATAGCCACACTTAAGAAGAAGAGTTTAAGGGGCGCCTGGGTGGCGCAGTCGGTTAAGCGTCTGACTTCAGCCAGGTCACGATCTCGCGGTCCGTGAGTTCGAGCCCCGCGTCAGGCTCTGGGCTGTTGGCTCAGAGCCTGGAGCCTGCTTCCGATTCTGTGTCTCCCTCTCTCTCTGCCCCTCCCCCATTCATGCTCTGTCTCTCTCTGTCCCAAAAATAAATAAATGTTGGAAAAAAAAATTAAAAAAAAAAAAAGAAGAAGAAGAAGAGTTTAGGAAACTGGAAAAATACAGCGAAGCCCAAAGAAAAATCAGCCATTGTTACATTTTGCAAAGAAAGTGCTGTTAAAGGTTTGGTGTGGTTCTTTCAAATATATATTTACATATAAACTTAAAGAAATTTTTTTTTCATTTTCATTTTTTATTCTTCTACATTTATTCATTTTTGAGAGCCAGAGCACCAGCGAGGGAGGGGCACAGAGGGAAAGGGAGACAGAGAATCGGAAGCAGGCTCCAGGCTCTGAGCTGTCAGCACAGAGCCCAACGCAGGGCTTGAACTCCCGAACGGCAAGATCATGACCTGACCTGAAGTGGGATGCTTAGCCAACTGAGCCACCCAGGTGCCCCTTTTTAAAAACAATTTTTAATGTTTATTTATTTTTGAGAGTGATGCAGGGGGAGAGGGGAAGAGAGAGAGAGAGAGAGGGAGACACAGAATCCAAAACAGTCTCTAGGCTCCCAGCCCAACACAGGGCTCGAACTCACGAACCACAAGATCATGACCTGAGCTGAAGTCAGTGTTTAACTGACTGAGTCACCCAGGCACCCCTAAACCTTTTTTAAATGAACGGGGGCTCATACTGTATAATTTTAGACTTTTTTTTCCTACCTAACTCCACTTAGCACTATGCCATGTACGTTTTCCCTTAGCACAGAGTTTGAGTGGGGGAGAGACAGAGAGAGAGGGAGAAACAGACTCCAAAGTGGGCTCCAGGCGCTGAGCTGTTAGCAGAGAGCCTGACGCAGGGCTCGAACCCATGAACTGTGAGATCATGACCTGAGCCGAAGTCCGAAGCTTAACCAACGGAGCCACTCAGGTGCTCCTGTGCAGGGGTTACTATAGGGCTCTTTTATTTATTTTATTTTTTTTTTCAACGTTTATTTATTTTTGGGACAGAGAGAGACAGAGCATGAACGGGGGAGGGGCAGAGAGAGAGGGAGACACAGAATCGGAAACAGGCTCCAGGCTCTGAGCCATCAGCCCAGAGCCCGACGCGGGGCTCGAACTCCCGGACCGCGAGATCGTGACCTGGCTGAAGTCGGACGCTTAACCGACTGCGCCACCCAGGCGCCCCAGGGCTCTTTTATTTTTATCATAAAATAGTGCAACAGAAATTTAGAATGCCATAATAAATACCAAGTATTGCACACAGGATTAGCAAGTTTTGATACTGTTTCTTATTTGAGTTAATTTTTTTGAGTTTATGTCTTTTCTTTATTTTGAGAGAGAGAGAGACAGAGAGACAGAGGTAGAATCCCAAGCAGGCTCTGTGCTGTTAGCACAGAGCCTGATGTGGGGCTCAATCCAACAAACCGTGAGATCGTGACCTGAGCCAAAATCAAGAGTCAAGCTCAACTGACTGAGCCACCCAGGCGCCCCTTGAGTTAATATTTTTGAGAAAAAAGTACACATTTTAAGTCCTCTCTTCTATCACACTATCCTATCCTTTCTCCCTCTGTAGAGACAACCACTACCCTGAAGTTAATGTGAACCCTTCCCAGCCATGCTTTCAAAGCTTACGGTGTGTGTAAAATATTAAATATGCTGTCTATAAATAATTTATACTGTAAATGTGCAAGTTTTTATATTTTATAGAAATGGTTTCATCCTGCACAATTCTGAAGCCTGCTTTTTTTTCCACCCAGCATTTATGCAATCTTCTCATGTCGATTAATTTAACTCCGCTACTCCCTTGTGTAAATACACCAACATTAGTTATCTATTCCCCGTAGATGGTCTTTTAATTTATTTGCAACTTTCTGCTACTACAAGGCTGCAAGGCTGCAGTGAACACCTTTGTAGTGGCCTCTAGACACAATTGCAAGTATTTCTCTAGGTCACGTACCAAAGAGTGGAACACCTGGGTCCTAGGGTGTGTGCATACTCAACCATTCTGAACGTGGCTGTGTTGTTTTCCAAAGCTATTCCACCGAAGTACCTTCCCACAACGCAGTTGTATGAGCGTTTCCTTTTGTTCACATCACCGCTAATGCTTGCTATTATCGGCCTTTTTAATTTTAGCTGTTATGATGGAAATGAAACAGTGTCTCATTTGGGATGCAATGCTCATTACTTTGATGACTATAGTTTCACATGTTTATTGTTTTTTTTTTTTTTTTTTTAATTTCCTCCCTCCTACATTGCCTGTTCATAGCCTTTGCTCATTTTTCCATTGGAGCAGATGTGCTTTCTTATTTGTTTGTGGTAGCTCTTTGTATGTTCTGGATATAATCCTTATCTATTACGTACATTGCAAACATCTTCTCCTGGTTTGGGTTTTTCTTTTCATTTTCTCATTTGTCATCAGAAGTCTTAGCTTCTTTTTTTTTTAATTTTTTTTTCAACGTTTATTCATTTTTTGGGGGACAGAGAGAGACAGAGCATGAACGGGGGAGGGGCAGAGAGAGAGGGAGACACAGAATCGGAAACAGGCTCCAGGCTCTGAGCCATCAGCCCAGAGCCTGACGCGGGACTCGAACTCACGGACCGCGAGATTGTGACCTGGCTGATGTCGGACGCTTAACCGACTGCGCCACCCAAGCGCCCCAGAAGTCTTAGGTTCTTAACATAACTGGATGACTACGGTGGCCTTCTCTGTTAGGAT